CGTGAAAGGATTTTTTTTTTATTTGATTAGACATTATTATTTATTACTTATTATTTAAATTACTGTATATATTGTTAGAATTTTTATTAAGTTAGGTTTTGCCCAGATATGTATTTTTTTATTTATTCATCATTGTTATTCTGAGTTTCTTTTCAATTCTAATTTATATTTCATATTATTAATTTTGCCTTGTTGATGTTTCCACTTCTATCATCTGGACTAAAAAATATACCTTAGTTCTTTTTTTTTTAATTCGTCATTCTTATAAATTAGTTTTATTTTTTTATTTTTTCAGCGAGTGAGCTTTCCTCTGAATAATTTGGGAACCAAAATGAATTTTAATTCAAAATATCATTTACAAGTTTGAATTTAATGCTAAGTATAAACCAGCCGTATTTCTCGTTTCCAACTGCGCTATTATTGAAATAACACGCATATGAAACGAACGAGGACGGAAATGCCAACAATACTTTGATTTATCTCTGTCTCCATTATAACTGTAGCCCCAATTTCTGGTTCGCCATATTGCCTCAATGTAACTGGAAACCATTAATAACGATCCAACGCATAATAGTGTAATTAAAATTCATCCTTGAAGCTAGTATATGCAGGGTGTCCCGTAAGTAGAAGAAACTTTTCAAATGGGTTATGATAGACAACAAGAGTAAAAAAAAATGTATATAAACAACAGCCCAATTTCACAAGAAAAGTAGGAAATTGAAGTTTTGTGTTTCCTTTTATTGGTCGCATTTTCGATGAATAGGAAACGATAAATAAAATATTACTGACTTTAAAATAATTACCAATTGCTTCACAGTAAACTAGACAAATTAATATAGAATTTGTCATTGTTTAAACCATTTATAAAGAATTTTAGAGCGGCTAAATAAAGGTATGTTTATAAAAAAATCTTAAATTAGTCACGATATTCTTTTATTATTCTCCAACTGTACTACGGATACTTCACTTCGGCAAAATTTCCCCATTTAGTAAACATTAAGTCCATATTGATTAATTTAAGATTTATTTAAAAAAACATTGAGATTCATCATCATCAAATACTTACCATTTTACGGTTTTGCCCTTTTTTCCTAAATTATCTTCTAGCTATTTTTTGCCTATAGGTCGATTCAATGAAATATTCACTCTTAGTTTGCTGATTATTCTTTAAAATAAACAACATACCCCGATCGTTAATCTGTTAATCAGAATACAAGCACAAATGCCAAAGTGAGTGCTGAGTCCCTGATAAATTATAAGTGATGAAATATTTTTTTTTAGTCTAAAATTTACATTAAAAAAAAAACCTGCTAGTAGCTTCAATTATTTTGATGAAAACATGAATATTAGAATTAAAAACATTTAGTTGGTCAGTTGTAAATACGGATCAATTCCTGTAATAATAGATCTTAGGAAAAAATCTATTATTATTGCCACTTTAGCTGATATATAATCGAAAAATTATTATTTTAAACATTTTTTTTAGAAATAAAAATTTTGTTTAGGTATTTATATTTATTATTAATGTTATACATCTCAGGTTATCAAAAAAAAGAAAAGAAATTTAAGTATTGTAATAATTTATTGTAGTCATTTTTGAGAAAACACGGATTGTTTAAGGTTACAAAATAAAATCACATCATTTTTGTACACATCTTGAGGTGAATCTTAACTTTTTTTCCTAATAAATCTGAAAATAATTAATATGGGTATAAAGGGTATTAAATGAGAAATTTTTTTCAGGAGCATATAAAACATTTGAGCATAAGTTATGATTTTTTAATAGACGGTAGCTTAGGTAAATACATAGCATAGTTTAGCCTGTCAAAAGTTCTATTTGAGTGGTTTTCTCTAAGTCAAAATCCACTTTTATTTGGAGTAAATTTTTTATAGTTTACAGTGAAGCAATTGGTAATTACGTAATTTTTTATTTATCCTTTTAAAAAATCCCCTCTACTTACGGGAAAATTTAAAATTATATTAGGCTCAAACTTATAGTTACTGGCAACAAAGAAAAAAAAAACTTGATTAAGACTCAAGATAGCATATTAAATTCAAAACACTGATTTCTCAAAGAAAAACAGAAAATGTAGAAAACAGTTCCGCAGCCAAACTCAAATTAATAAAAAAAAATAATAGTAAAACCGTATGTCTCTTCATGGAGTCTACCAACGTTTTTTATCTAACCAATATTTTGAGTCTAATAGGTGAAAAATATTGTTTGAAAATTCATTACCGAACACTATTCAAGTAGCAATCACCAAACAATTAGTCTTAAATTATTAAAATTAAAATAAAAAAAATTCGATGAGAATAATTATTCTGCATTTTTCTTCAGCATGATATCATCCTTTCAGCATTGAATAAATTATAATTGGAGAGTAATACATGCAAGGCGATCAAGATAGCAACAATATTACCTAAGAAGAATACACAGCCACCGCAATATGAGGAATGTCTTCAACAGAGGTAGAATTATATTTTTTTTTTTATATTCAGCAACGAGTTCCGGGTAGTAATAGTTCCGAAAAATAAATCAATTTCCAACTCGTTGATCAGCCAGTAATGATTTTCTTTTCTTGTCAGAACTGTATTAACAGAAAATTTAAATCAACATAAACAGCTATTTTCCCAAATAGATAAACAATGAAAAATGATACAACGCGGAAATGACGGAATGTGTTCAAATATATCCAGTGAGAACGAAGGAAACAATCAACAACATCCTGCAACTGAAGATAGCAGGTTAACCAACTGAATCATCTTTGGAGAAAAAAAAATTATCAAGGTCTCTATAATAACTTACAGTAGCAAGAGCCAAACTCATATCCTCTTTGCAGTGGTTCCGCTTATATTTATAGCATCATTAAATAGTTGATATGAATGATATAGTAAATCAGTGACTCCTGAATCACGAGTTTTGATCTCTTCAGTGATTTAGATCTAAAGAATTGGAAACCATCAGCTAAATGTACCGATAACAGGCACTTTCAGAGAATTTTATAACATTAATGTGAATCACTAATTAAGTTCTGACGATAGATATTTGCAAATGGATTTAATTCACGGAAAATTTATACTTTTAGCAATTTCGTTTTTTCTGTTCCATAGTTGTAGCCGTTTTTCAAATGTTTATAAAAAAGAAATTCTGATAACGTATTTTGTGCCAGTGATAGACACCCAAGTTGTGGGGGTTATCATATTTTTTTTTAATTAAAAAAAAACAAAATAAATTCTCCACAATTTTAAACAAGGAAATAAATCAAAAGAACGAATAAATAAAACTATAGATGAATAAATCAAAAATATTAACATATCTCCTAAAGAAAAGCCCCCTGAAACAAACACCCTGCCTTACTCCACAGAAAAGTCAACTTAAAAAATCATCCAATCAGTTGTTGTGGCATGATATCACTTGAGGTTCAAGCATCAATCTCCTAAGTGTTCTAGCTTCGAATCTAATCGTATTTGCACTATCTTCCAGACCTACAAAGCTTATTACATGTTGATGAGTTAAAAATGTCGATTACTGGGACACTTATCCTATAAGTTTATCGGCAATAAGCAATACAATATAAACTAGTGGCGAATCTAGGATCTTTTTTTACTATATTAAAGAGACAATAACGTTTAGAACGAATATTTCTTGAAATGTGCTTACATTTAGTAGTTAATATACATTTCTTATATTTTAAAAAGAGTATATCTTATAATTGCTTAAGTATTTAACACAGATAACACACTGGAACAAATATGAATCAATAAAAAAGTAAATAAATTTAAAAAATAATTTTTCCATTTTTATGGGGGGAGAGGGGAAAGATCCAAAAGCCTCCTCTTGTGGATCCGCCAGTGATATAAACCAACCATAGAAAAGGTTTTAAAGTTACAATTTATTATTTATATATATATATATATATATAATATATATTATAATATATATATATATATATATATATATATATATTTTGGAGGGGGGGGGGAACTCAGAAACATTTAATCGGTTTTTAATGAATTTTGTTAATGTAATAATATTTTTTATTTATGATTTCGCCTATTCTCTATTATTAACGAATTAGTTCTTTCATATTTAAGCATTTTTTATATCAGGTTCCAATGCGAAATGATTAATTTTTTCGAATAAAAACAATTAAATGTACTTTAGAGGAAGAAATTTTAAAAATTAGGCATTTAAGCCCTGATAGAGAACACCAATGAGAATAAGACCTACATTATATCAAAAAACGTTTAATTTTACACTGATATAATGAATATAATCAAAATCGTACGAGCCATTTTCGAGAAAATTGTAAAATGAGTAAAATTGTTTCTGTAACATCCCAGCCTGTACGAACCTTAAATATGGAATTTTAATTCCGTATGAGTTTTCGTTTTAGAGCTAGACTGTTCACATTTTGCACACAGACCATTTTGCGGTACTTTCTGATTTGGACTCAAGGAACCTCAAAACATGTATTTCCGTTGAAAACTTAGATTCGAACATTTTCACGATATTTTCCCTTAATATATATTACACACATAGGTAAGTGAAAGTAAAAACAAATATGAACTACTTATTTTCTGACAGGTGCATATTTTGTGTTATACCAAATCAATGTTCTTCTAACTAAACGAATCGTGTAGTAAGCGATAGCTCTTCTTGATATTTTTGTTTTATTTTAAAATTCCTACACATCAATAACATGTATTACTTTTAATACATATTATAAATTATATTATTATTTCTCTGTTCCTTTATACATAACATACAATAGATTAACCAAAAATCTGTTAGACTAAACATATGAGTTTTGAACATTTGTTTTCTCCCAATAACAAACTTTCCTCATTTTATAAGAATACTATCGTTATCCGTTCTGCTCTGTTCACATATTCACCAAATATTCTTTATAGGTATATGGTCCTTGTGTTAATAATACACATTTAAGGTAACTTCAGGTATTTGTGAAGGTGCTTCTATCTTACGTAAATAACCCTTAACCATTTTTTTTGTTTATCTCCTAAAATGAATCACAAGTGAAACAATTACGCTGTCGTAATCACTTTCAAGATAATTATTTATTCAAAAACGGACCTTGAACCGATGATGGGCAGCGGCCCGCAGCCCTTCCGGGTCTTATTGCGAACGTTCCAGGACGGCGACGTGAGAGGAGATCCTGCGATATCCGAGACCAGCCTAATGACGAAAATTGCAGAGCATTACCTGCTCGTTGGAGAGAAATTCAAGGTCAGATGTCTATCCTGCGGTAAGACTTTGGGTAAGAAAACTTTTGCAGATGTATAAGAAATGACACGGCTCCGAAATCGCCGTCACTTGTCTCCCGATAACTATCTTCGATAAGCTATTACTCAAATATTTTAAACAATAAATATAAAATAAAACATCATTGATCATTTTTATATCTACGAATCCGGTAACATAAGAATGCACCCACATATCGAATACAAAAAAAGTGGCGTCATATTAAAATGGAGGTTATTTTTAAAAACTACGCATACGATAATTGACCCATACATCGAAAAATTAAAAATAATTAAATAAATAAAAAAAAGATTGAATTTTAAATGGAAAAGGTTTAATTTGAAATGGAAAAGGTTGAATTTGACTTGGAAAAAGTTTAATTTGATTAGAAAAAGGTTGAATTTGACTTGGGAAAGACTTGGAAATGATATATATATATATATATATATATATATAAAGTTAATTACTCTCGTAGATTATAGATGACCAACAATTATGTTCAAGTCGTTTTTGAAGTCCTGATAAAAAAAAAAATCTCTAAATCATGACAATTATTTAAATTTATATTGAAATGTCCACTTATATTATAAATGTTTATGATATATGTTATAAGTTACAATTTTGGGAGTTTAACTTTTTTAATAACGGTACCAAGAACAAGAATGCTTTGCGGTGGTTTTTTAAATATTTTAGTAGCTTAATATGCGTTTTAATTTAAAAAGAGTACATATTATGATTTAATATTAAGCACATATCACTCACAGAAACAAATATACCAGAAAAAAATATATATTATTAACAAATGGGTGGGTAAGGAGTTTTATATCTTAGGTCTTTAAGGATAATTTAATACACATATTGCATTTATATCTATGTTTTATTTGAGTGGTGGGGTCACCGAATCAGCTGAACCTATATTAACATGATAAAATAATTACGAGTTCGCATCCCGATGCCGGAGGGTCTTTTAACTCTGGCATAAATTTCCCGCCCTCTCCTTTGGTCCGAGAAAATCCTCATATAGCCTAAAGAGAACAAAAAATAAATTAAATAAGAAAACATATTGCATTTAAATAAATATATTTAAATATAATCTCAGATAAAACACATATAAATTTGTGTGTTATTTCTTAATGAAGGTTTACAGAAACTGACTGATAAATGATTGACGGTTGATGGAAGTTTTAGTATGTTCATAATTGCAAGTAACACAGAGAATTGGTCTGACAAAATTCGAATATTTTGATAAAAATGGTGATCCGCGGTTTGTACTCTTGCCTGAAATTATTTCGGGTCTAGTTAAGAATATATTCAAATGAGACCCCACAAAATGAGACTTTCTAGCTATTAGAATAGTCCTGGACAACAATCTAAGCATAAAATAATTTATTAAGTATTGTAATGTTTATTTTTTTTTCTCGAGGACTACATCACGCTCGAAAGTTGATCATTCACAAGAACTCTTGATCTTTGGTGGATGGTTCACCCTTCTTCATCTTATTAATCTGACCTGGCACCACATGGTATCTGTTTATGATTCGGAAACCATTGCAAGGCAGCTAGATATCAAATAAATACTGTGTTTTATAGCATTAGCTATCTAGCTATAGGATCCAGGATTTAGTTTTGGGGGCTTCAACCCTCAAAATTTTTTTTTTAAAATTATAGTACGATAATTACTTAGGAAGAAAAAGAAATGAACTAACTAATTATATGACATAGAGTTTAACTGATTCTTCAAGTACTATCAAATGTAATTATACTAACATTAATACTTTTAGAAGTAATTATTAACTTTATATATATATATATATATATATATTCATAATACATGGTTATATTTTATCATTTTGAAGGGGCTTCAGCCCCAAAGCCCTTCCCCCATCCTCCCATCATCCGCCCGGGTTTTATAGTACGTGATAGTGGTTTATAAAATCTTTAATAAGATGATACCAGAGTGGTGCATTATTCAAAACATATTGTATTAATATATTTTTTAAACTAAATATTATTTCCGCCACCTAATCGTTTTAACTATTTTTTCCTTTATACGTTTATAAGCTATTTCAATTTTCAAAATAACATTGAATTCATTTGGAATTTTATTACACTATGCAGAATTTTTATTACTCAACAACACTTGCTTTCAATCATCCACTTCGATATTTATATACTTAACTAGATTGTATTAAATATTTTATAAATTTGAATGTTTATGTTCATTGTTTTTTTTTTTTCATACAAACTTTTCATTAACCTGACACTGGCATGTGATGTTAGGTCAGAATAGCCAAATAAACAAAATATTTTTTTTTTGTTTTTGCTCAATCTTTTTTTGGGTATGATTGTATGGATTAAAATTTGATTATCCACTATTGAATTCCAATACTAAACGACCTTTTGCGAGAAAGTTTCTTATTCACAAGGAGCAACTGTAAAAACAAAAAATTCATATTTATGTTAAACTCATGTACCATAGTACATAAATTAATTAAGGTTTTTAAAACTTAATTTAGAAGATTCGAAGTTAATGAAAAATATTTCATTGTAGCGCTACCTTTTGAGGAAACCCGGAGGTATCTTAAGACATTAGTGTTCCAAGATGCCACAAGAAGGCGCTAGCCAGTTTTAAGGATTTTTTCTTCTACTTCTCACCCAATAGAAGTACTTTTTTTTCTTTATTGTCGTATTAACATTATCTTTTTAAACGATTAAATTTGTCAGATTGTAAAATTTAACAAAAAAATACATTTATCACTAAAAAAAAGTTTATTCCTAACCATTATTTAACAGAAATAAATCCTTTAAACGAAGACGATAGTTTCAGTCAAAGATCCCCACGATTTTTTTTTATAGATGAATAGTGGTTTTTCAAAAGTTAAACATTTTAATTTATGTAATATTATTGTCAAAGTGTTGTTTACAGTTTGGTTTACATTTTTCTAAGGGGCGACAAGCGCGTGATGAAATTATGAAATCAATCGAACTGCTTGATTTCCTTCATATGTTTTTATTTTTAAACATTTTTTAATTCGTCTCCGAATTTAATTTATAAAAAACGTTTAAGCCCCCAGAAAAGCACTCAATTAAAAAGGGCTAAAAAACTGCATGAAATACTTTAAAAAACGGCAAAACTCATGAATTTTGAACTTGATTGACATATAAAATTCCAATCATCTTAATGGAAGTTACAATTTATCAAAATTGTAATAGTTTGATTTTGTATTCAAAACAACCTTAACTACCAATTTCTGCTGTTTTGAACCAAAGAGATGTTGAAACGTAGATAAAAGAAAAAACTTATATTTATAATACACCTAGCTCATGCATCAAAACTGAAATACAATATTCTGATTAAACTTAATAGTGTGATATTTTCGTTAGATTTTTTTTTCTAATATAAATTATCTAGGAAGATATATGATCAGGATTTTAGTCAAGTTTTTTATTTTTTTATTGTATAAAATCTAGAAACCTGAGTGGTTGAATCTTTGAAAATTGTTTTAATATTGGAATTCTTCGCTTTCTATATTAATTTAATTCAACATTCCATTTGTTTTTGTTTTCTATTTAATGTTATTTTTATTTCTGAAACTGCCATATTTTTGACCGACATGAAATAAGTTTTCCAAAGAACATGAAAATTGACTGGAAGAAGTATGAGACAATTTTTTATAGAGAGATGAGTCAAAATTTCAAATGTTTGAGCCAGTATGTTAGAGAAGAACTGAAATGGAATTTTAGGATCATGATACCATAGCATTCTTACATATTATGCAAAGCCATCTCAGCTTAAGCTGATTAGGATAAATTTATTTCTCGACAACGATCAAAAGCAAAGCGCAGACTTCGGAGAAGAGGGCGAGGCGAGAAGAGATCGTCTCAATAAAAATAAACAGGAGGGCGAATATATTGTTTGGCCCCTCCCCCCAATACTTTAAAAAGTAAAACAATTAATCTATATGAATGAATAAAATATTTAAACTAAAATCAATAGGAAAATTGGAATAATCGACTGGATAGCTAAGCTAAGGCCTAGAAGTAGGAACGTATTTTATCACACCCTATGTTCCAAGGATATGTAGCAACATATCCTAGGATTTTATTGTTCGTTCATGAGTACTCTTCCATTTTTGCGTGGAAATTGTATCACATTTAGCGAGGCAAATTTGAAAGAATTGGTCGTTTTATCACTGTCTCAAACCTTTAAATAAAAATATGTAATATATTCAACTGCTTTCTTAACATATTTGTAAACATACCCATTCGAAAAAAATAAATATATAAAACTAATATATAGATAGATAGATAGAAAATAACTTTAATCTGGGACAAAGGCCCTTCAGAATAACAACATAGAGCAAAACTAAAAGATTAGATGTGGATTATTATTCCTAACAAAGATCAACATTGATATTTGACAATGAATAGCATGAAATAAATGTATGTTGTCGAATGGTTAGCAGCTGACTGTTTTTTGGGGTAGGAATTGGAATAGGAGGGTTTTGAATGTGGATATGGAGGAGGAATGCCAAATTATGATATGGAGGGAATTCCAGAAATTGACAGAGTGAGCAATAAAGGAGTTTCGGAATGAGGCACATCTATGAAGGATAGAAGGTCGAGATCTTGTAGAAAGGGAATGGACTGAGGATTTGAATTGGAGAAGATCGTAGGCGTAAGATCATATATTTGTTATATGTATGTTAAATTAAATTATAAACATATATATGAATTTAATATTATATTTAATCTATATAAGATTATTTTTTTATAAAACCCTTATTTAATCTAACATTCCTTAATTATAATTTTAAAATATTAAAAAAAATATTATGTTTTAAATATTTTAATTATATTTAAAATTAAAATTAAGAGTGTGAGATTAATAAGGTTTTTATAAAAAAAAAATAATCTTATATAGATTAAATATAATAATTATTAAAAAATCTCACATAAGGTATGAATAACCTAAGAAGGTTGTTTATCATCCATATATATGAATTTATTTTTATATATAGTATTATATTGTTCATTTTGTAATAATAATGTAGATTATGTTAATTATGATTCATAATTTTTATACGTAATTTAAACTCTCGAGCCTGCTTTTTTCGGGAGTGAGAAGGTCTATCGCTCCCCCAAACAGAATGGAAAATCTGCGCATGTGTAATAAAAGTAACATTAAATATAAAATAAAAACAAATGGAATGTTAAATTAAATTAGAGAAGTGGATAATTCCAATATTAGAACAATTGTTATAGATACAATACATTCAGCTGCCTAGAATTTATACAAAGGCTCTTAATGTTAACAATAAAGAATAAAGTCTGAATGAAGTGGATAACAAAGTAGTGAAATTTAAACAATAAGGTAACAATATCCAGCTCCTTAAAATAACGTCAATACAACGGATTGGTTACTTATTGTTTTTTAATTGATAATAATACAATTTAAGTATATATTACAACTACAATGTCTGCAAGATTACAATGAAGAATATGAATCACTTTTATATTGAAACATTTATTATTTTTATAAAATTTTGGTTTTGTTTAATGGGAATCTTGTATTTCAGGTTTGATAATATGTTTAAGTAAGCTAGAAATATACTTATACTTTAAGTTAATAAAATATGATTATATTTCATATTCTTATATAAAATATTCTTCTAAATATTCATCGACGTATCATTAAAAAGATCTCAGTGTTAACTCTATCTAAACTATTCAATCTGACCTGGGAATGTGTTCCTCGCATCCTGTTGAAACTTGCACAACGTGTGTAGTTACGCAACTCATTCTTGCTATATTTCCGAAACATCAAGTATTGGAAACGAATATTATGATCTGTTTATGTAAGAAGAAACGCGAATTTAAGACTATGACGTGAATCGTAATTTTGAATATTCGATGAACTAGTTGAAAACCGATATACTTTTAATATTATTATTATGGTTTTTAAATGATAGATTATAATCACATTTATTTTATAGATTCCCAAGGCACAAAGCATTGTCCAATATATTCTCTTTTTATAATTATTACTTCGTAAGATAACTCGACCACAAAGTCGAAAAAACAAAACGGTGGCAGACAAAAATATTGGGCAGTTTGGCTTATATACTCTCTTTATTTTGACATGTTGGGGATGGAAGTCAAGCGAAATAACCCAATATTTTTGTAGGGCACTTTTTTCCTAGATATTGTGATCAAATTATCTTAAGATTTAAGTGGAAAGCAAATGGATGTTTCGTTTTTAGTTTATTAGAAACTAAGTTATCTTTACCCTTCGTCGTAGAACCTATGACTTCCTGCCCTACAGTTTTCTTTAACGATACTCCACTTATCCTTGTTGAGCGAATCCGATACCTAGGACTCCACCTAGAAAAACGTCTAACTTGGAATCCTCAAACCAGACTGAAACAACAAGAAACCGCTCGACGTTTCCGAATACTTCAGCACTTACAAGACAAACTCTCTAAACTTCCAATTAATTGCAAAAGACTCATATACATGGCTATAGTAAGGTCTATTTGGACTTATGGAGTTCAGCTATGGGATTCCACTAAACCATCGAATTCCTCCCGTATCCAATGCTTACAATCCAAAATCCTTCGTAAAATCCTCAATGCTCCCTACTTGTACCAGATGCCTATCGTTCCATTACAAACATAAGAATCATCCAAACCCTCTCGTTTCTAATCTTGCTTCCTCTTCAATTCCTAATGACACTCCGAGGCGTCTGAAAAGAAGATGGCTCCGTGATCTCTTAATGTAGAGATGTTTACTGATATCCAGATTAATAACGCACCATTTTTGTGAATTTTCGTAAAATAAAAAAGGTGTAGGTTACTAAACATATACAGTATATACAGACTTTAGGTTGTATATATTCAGTATGCATTAATGTGATCTTATCAATTGCAATCTTGTGAAGCATAGCCTTGTTAGTTAAATAAAATCAATACAATACGTATGACATGGTGGTGCTTGCTATAAAAGTTGCATATCCGCTGCACTCACGGATGGCATGGAGGTCATTTAAATAATTGAACAAATGCTTACACAATCACCAATTAAATAGCTTCAGTAATATCGTTAGACCTACTAATTAAATGAACATATCAGTTCATGTTAGTTAGTGTTATTTTTTCCGGGGTTTGCAAAAACAAAAAAATTATATTGTTTCAACCAGACTGTTAATTAATATAATTTAGATCAAGAGACCAGTTAATAGTCAAATTCTCAAACTCGATACAAAATTCGAGTGAAAAATGTGAAGCAGAAGGATCAACAAAACTCTTGATCGTTTATTATTCGAACGTGCAACATATACTAGGTTGAGTGCAATACTAAGGGACTAACACTAGCGGATGGAAAATCGTAACGAGATCAATATATTCAAACAACAAACCATAGGCGACATGTGGATTCTTTATTTTGTCATGACTAATAGTCCAAACTGTAAGGAACCGATGTGACACATATTATCAATTATATGAAATTAATGTCAAACTAAACTCGAACATCAATCATGTGCTTGAAGTAATTTTTGCTAAAGCGAAAATAGGATCTCATAAATAACCATTCATTTCATCAAAAAATGTATAGGATCATTTTTATAGATATTTTAGAGTACTTTAATATTTTACAGAACAACCTTTACGAAAAAACTCATAGTTTTTGAGATATTCCCTAAAAACTAAAATAATATCATTTTTCTAGTTTTCTATCCTTCTCCCCCTCCTCCCATCAAAACCCGACGATTTAGGACTTTTTACCAGTTATTATATGAAGAGTATTAAACAATTTCTGACATATTTCATCTTTATTTTTTGAATTTTGGGTGCAATCCCTAATTTTCCTGGACTATATATGATCTCATTTGCATAACGTATGTGATATGGATGTTAGTATATAATGGGTTTTGGCTTTGCTTTTTTAAATTCATATTTTATTTAGTTATGCCATAAGGTACTGCCTATTACCTTATGGCATAACTAAATAAAATTACGTGTTTCGGCTATTCGCTAAAAGGTATAGTAGCGGTCAAAGAGACAGCATCGTCTATTTCTTTTGATTCTTATGTTGATAACGTTGATTCCATAAAATCTTTTTTTTTTTTATTTACCTATTAAGGTTACAAGAAACCTTTAGCAATGTTTCTCAGTTCAGTTTTAACTAATGTCAGGATAAAATTTGTAATTATGACCTGTATCAAAAACTGTCCTCTTCAAAAAAACATTAAAATGTCTTACATTATAGGAAGTAAAGGAATTTTTACGGGAAATAGTAACGAGAATAGGGTACCAACAATCAACGGAAGTCATGGATTTGAAAGAAAAAAAAGACTCCATGGAGCTAAAGAAAGAAATTGGGATTGAAAACAAACGAACAATTTGACCACTTAAAGGTGCCATTGTTTTTAGAATATTTTTTCATAACTGGCAAAGAAATTCAGAGAACTTTCAATAATAATCTGGTAAATAAAATAAAATTTTTATAGGGTGATGCAATTTCTATGATCGCGACTGTATATATTTTGTTTAAGCGAACGTTTTTTAAAGTTTAATAGCTCAAATTATACGGTGAAATCCTGTAAGTATTTTGAAACATAACATAAGTGGTGCGACATCCCGTCACCGTGACTCTCCTCCAAAAGTCTCTGTCAGTTTGTTCGGCCGTTTGCTTAAGTTTGCACTCCGGTTTCGGACTCCAAGAAGAGCCCATGCGTCCGCAAAGACCGAGTGCGTCCATCGCACGTTCGGTCGTCCAACTCGCCGCTTCCCTTAGAGCTCTACGGTAAGGATCGTTTTCGGAATCTCATTAGGAGTCATCCTTTGCACATGTTCTGCCCATCGAAGTCGTCGGCGATTCACGAACTTGATTATTGTTTGAAATGAATTGAGTAAATTGTCGTATAATATTTCGTATGAACAAATTAAACAAAACTTTTCTCTCCCCACCTCACTTTTAAGGATATACGGGTTTTTTCCCGGGCAAGAGTGGAGGATGGGGGTTTAATTCTAGATCGATCATCTCCCCCCTCCTCTATCAAATAACTAAAACTGTATCTCATTGAATGTCTTGTGATATAAAATTGTCTTTCTTATTTGATGTCCAATATTCGGTCAACAATGGCTATACTTAGGTAAGAACGCTGTAAGGTAAAGAACATACAAGAGGACTCCGATGAAAGGTACCAATCAATTTGACTTGGCCAATCTCAAGCTTAGCACAATTACACGTTTCAAAGGAGGCATTGAAGCGCCAGTTGGCCAATGACAACCCCCCGCCCTTGACTCATTGAAAGGGTGACCAATGAATTGGCCTTGTTATTGACTAATGATTCTAGTACTGTTCTGATTGGTCGATCTGTTGCAGAGTGCTACGAGAGGGTTGCAGTCGGCAAGAGGCTCAACGACACAGAAGTCGCCAACAGCATCTCAGTAGCGACGGTCCGCCAGTGCGAGCAGGAGTGCGAGAGAACGAGATGTCCTGCCTACAGCTTCGGGTAAGTATTTGAACTTTAGAGCAATAAGTTAAGCTAAACAAGAAATCAATAAGTCCAAGTTATTCAAAGAAAAATTTTTTAAATTGTTCTGGTTCATACCAGACATTCTGAATCGCATATATAAGAGAATATAAAGAAATGAAACTTAAACTCGAGAACAATACTAATATCGATAAAATTTCAATTATACATATATGTATATCTATATATATATATAGATTTCACTTATCTATTATCTCTCTCTGACAAGAAAAAAAGAGTCTAAACATTCGAGTAAATTCTCTGCAGATTTTAAAGAAATATAATTAAAATAACTATTTTATATTAAAAAAAAATAATGCTTTATGACGAATGAAAAATTGTATATATTAAAATTTAATTATAAAATTGGTGATTAGGTAGACAAGCAGGATTTTTCTTTCATAATTATAAATACAGTTGTGGTCATAGAAATTTTATTTTTTATCACCCAGAAAAAATGTTATTTTATTTACCTGATTACTAGATCTTCGGATATTTTTTTGCCAGTTATGAAGGGATATTCTAAAAATATTGACACCATTTAGTGGGCAAATTGTTCGTTTGTTTTTTCTCCTCCAAATTTCTTTCTTTAGCTCCATGGAGTCTTTTTTTTTCTTATCAAAACTATGACTACCGTTGATTGGTGGTACTCTATCCCCTTTACTATTTTCCTCGAAAATTCCTTTACTTCATGTAACGTCACAATTTTAATGTTTTTTGACGAGGACAGTTTTAGACACAGGTCATAATTACAGCTTTTATCCTGGCATTAGTTAAAACTGGACTTAAAAACATTGTTAAAGCTTTCTTGTAACATTAATAAGTAAAGAAAAAGAAAAACAGTGAACAAACGTTATCAACATAACAATCAAAAGAAATAGTGGATGGAATTTCTATGACCGCGACTGTACTGTATATAAATAATTGTGTCTGTGTTATTTTACTTTGCTTATTTATTATTTTATTTTCTGTGTATATTTCTTGATTAGCTGTTACTTATTTATTAAATGTGGTGTGAATGTACTCTTTCCTCACTATAAGCCATTCTCCATATTGTGATAGAATGTTGTGTTAAAAAAGCATTATAAAAGTTTTTAAAAATTATATTTTATGGTAATTTGAACAAGAAGTTTAAAACATGAAATATTTAATGAAAAAAAAATCGCTGTAAAAGAAACACAAACTGAATTAGAAGATTTCCAAGATTAATGCTGAGGTTTATTGAGTAAAGTTTATTACAAAAAAACTGCTTCGTTGGTATATTCCTTTTTCTGAGCTTTTATTTGTTATTCATTTATTATTTGTATTCCGCGGTACAGAAGTCTTCTTATCAAATTATTAACATCCTTCGAAAAATTCGTGAATAAAAAAACATTCATTATTCTATATTTACATATATAACAATAATTATTCTAAGAAATAGAATAAAAATAGTTACTTTCGTGTGTTAAAGAGTAATGATGGCTAATAGAGATTAGCGATAATGTCGTGCGATTCTTTAGCAATATTGTTAAATACGTAAAGAAAGACAAAGAATCCCTTTCTTCATAATAAACCTAATGGCAATTTCTTATAGTTTCGCTGAAATGACCACTGTCAGAGCCTTACCCTGGCACAAAATCGTACTCACATTCCCCTTCGAAGAGTAGCTGCTTATTTTGAAAAAAAAAAAAAGAATAATGCCTTAAGGATTACGAGAATAAGATTGTGGGTAGAATGTTTGTTCTGAGGAAGGATGATTTTTCAAGAGAATTGAGGTGGTTATTGAGATTATAGTTATTGAATTGTAAGGGTTGAAATGGACATGTATAGTCTGGTAAGAATAAACTGGTTAAAAAAACAAAAGAAGCCACGTTATTCAGTGGGTGACGACATACCTTACCAGGATGAAATAATTTCGGATGCAGAAGGAATATCAGTACCATATATCACTGTGTCCCGAGCAGTGGTTGACCCCAAGGCAAGGTACCGTTCCACTATAATTACCCTGCGGACAATTTTAATATTGTGCCGACTGGACAATAATAAGCGGAAATAACAGCTAACGGTACAACATATATCCAACTGTTGTCATTCCGGGTCGTTTCCTATATGACATATCTATCTACAATCTTCGCCGACCGAATGATGGGGGGAATGTTAGAGAAAGGAAGAAACATTAAATAGAGTTCATCCGGCAATCGTCTATGTGCCTAAGGTGAACTGGATTAGAGGAGTTCACTAGCGGATCCAAGATTTAATTTGCGGTGCTTCAGCTCGAAATCTTTATATATATATATATATATATATATATATATATATATATATATATATATATATAACGATAATTACATTGAAAGAAAAAGAAAGATACTACCTATATGAATTGGTGTTACACACGAATTACACGAACAATTATATTGTTAGAGATTCTTTTAAAATTTTTTTTTCATAAAACTTGATTATATTTTACCATTTTGGAGGGGCTTCAGCCTGAAAGCTCCTCCTCCCACGTAGATCCGTCTGTGGAGGTGTTCAAAGATAAAATAGTGCTATAGATGTCTTATGAATAAAATAATAATTCTGAATTCTTGGATGTCTTTACGCCTTTTGACCACTTTGGCGAAAATCGGCTCAGCTGTTATTTTTCTTTTTTTGTTTTGTTTCTGTTCTTCTCTATCTCGACTTTTAGGCTATACGGGATTTTCCCTGGCCGGAGGGTGAGGGTGGGAAATTTAAAATTCCCTCTGACACCGAGACGTGAACTCGTACTTTTTTTTTTATCTCATATTCAGGTCATCTGGTTGCCGGAAAACTCGCGGTTCTCTGAACTCGCGTTAGCCCATTCGGCCACACCGCCCCCAAAAAGCTACTCCGGGCACCGGGACGGGAATTCGAGATATTTTTTTTCATATTAATATAAAGTTGCCGGGTAATATATAATATAAATAATAACATAAATACTAATAATTATATAAATTAATATAAGGTTGCCGAGTAACGGCAGTGCGGTGCACAAGCACTAGCCTGTTCGGCCACCCTGCCCACAAGGATGAGCTATCTGGCCGAATCTTCGTTTCGTTTTTACATAGAGCTCTAAGAAGGTTTTTAGCAATATCAGCCTGTCGTCAGCCCAGGGGTGCCCATCTCACCAAGATCGTTGGCTCTAGAACCAACCCCATCTCTCCCAACGAAATTTTACTAATCAACCTTCTTAAAAAACCGTGCCTGCCAAAATAGAATTAGAAAATTTTTAAATCATATACAGTTATATTCACTGTATATCTGGTCTATCTTTCCTTTGTTTCCTGGTTTGAAACTTTTCACTTTGAAAATTCAAAATGTTTCCCTCGCATAAATTCAACACTCCGTCAAAATATAACTCACCCTCGGAAATGCCCCATTCGATGGTGCAACTTGGGCCATGAAACCCCCTTGTGGACATCTCTCCATCCTATCTCTTCATACACACTGGCAGAGAATCAAAAATCAAAGTGCTATTTAGGCTTTTCAGAGAGAAGTGCAGATATTGTTTGGTACCGTTAAATAGCTGAAACTTCTCTACGCTTCACGTTATCGGTCATCGGATTAACGGAAAGAAAGTGGAAGCGTTAACTACGACACAAATAATAAAATCAGTTCTAACTTTGCTGACTTTGAACCGAATACTTTTACTTTTCGTACATAACTCAGAGGGCTTACATGCTTTTCATATGGCTGTACGTGACCTGCCAATGGGTCAACATTAAGTTTGTACCTCAAAGTCCAAGGAGAAAGAAATCCCAAAATAGTTCATCAAGATGCACCCCGATAAAAACATGTTGTGTACTATTTTTTAAAGTATAAGTAACAAATTTATGCTGTAAAATAATAATTAATTAATTGATTTATTGATTAAATATTTATAACAACAAAAAATTTGTATTCTACCAAACAATATACTACATTTAAAAGGGAAGTACACCCATATCTGTGTTAAATGACCAACAATTTTGAGTAAGAAAAATTCCCAGCGTTATCAACCCTGCACAAAAGATACGTACTCAATAAAATAAATAAATAAATAAGTAAGCAAATAAATAAGTATTCAATAAAATTAATAGTAGTAAATAATAATAAGAAATTAGGAAATATTACGGTATCGTTAGTACTTATCAGTATGTCAAATTCTTGGAGACCTTCAGGCAATGATTACATTCGGCTTCGGCTCATTGGCCAATAAGGTTGCGAAACGGTTTTGATTGGTTACTCTGTTTCAGGATCACCTCGGGCGGGAACGGTACCTGCAAGCTGGCCTCGGAAGTGCCGAAGCTGGAACCAATCACAGACATCGACTACGACCTCTTCTACAAGAATCCTTCTTGCCTCAACCAATCATGTGAGTAGGATGTGGAATTTTTTTTTGTATCTAATATTTCTTTAAATAACTTTTTGCCACGAATAAGATAAATTGAAATTTTGAAAAATATATTACTATAGCCTTAAAATTAAAATGTGTGTGTAAATATATATCTTTTCTTTTTGTTTATCATTGAATTATTACTCTTCATTTAAAAAAAAAAATGAATTACATACCGTTTGGAATTTCGATAAAAATAATTAGCTCTTTCATCGAATTACGAAACATAAATTAGAACAAATGAATAAATATTATGTTGAAGATGTATCATGACATCATTAGTGCGAATCTGTGGGAAAAGGAGAATCTATAACCAATGCATTAACCAGAAGAATGAATATGATGCTTGTAAAAAAATAAAAAAAGTTTTATTTCATCATAACCATTGTCTATTGTGGAAGTGTGATTTTCGATTGGAAGATTTTCTGTTTCAAATGTCCTCTTATGTGATTTCTCATAATTTGAGCACAATTTTTATTTTATTAGTCCTTTTTTAGTTGAAGTTTGAAGACAATTACATCATATTTCATTAGTGACAGAAGTTTCACTCTTTTCGGATCATAGGAAAAACTAATAAAATACGAACTATTTCTACAGAACCTTTTCCGTTATTCTTTTTTTTTTTTTTTTTTTTTTTTTTTTTAGGTTTTAATCACGTTTCAAGTGATTTATAGTAGAATGCAAACTTTTTGACTTATGCGCAAATAAAACTATAAAATAAAATTACTTTTAATCTTAAGCATTTTTTACTTTTCGTTTGGTATGTATTTTCGTGTGGTGATGTCCTTCTTGAACAGCTTCCTTCATTTTTGAGGACCCTAACCTAAGCCTTAACATTTTATGTCTTTCTTGAGACTTAATTTCAATTGAAAATTTACTGCTGGTTATTTTATTAAATGTCATATCGTATAATATGAAAGTTATAATTATTTTGATAAAGATGTAGAATACAAATGTAAAATTAATAAAAGTAAAATAAGTATTCAGGTAACAAATTGTTTTATAAGTTGTTTTGTTTGTTACTAACAACATATACAAAAAGTCAAAGAACCTATGGATTACAGGAAAAACATTTTTTCGGCTATTGTGCACAGAGTTTAGAACACAGATATCGGTGTTGAAAACCTACAAACCATTATTAAAAAAAAAAAATTTAAAAATCGATCTATTATTTCAAGACATGATTGTGGCAGTAATCCACGCCTAGATCTGTAGCAAAAATTCATATTACGGGCTCAGGAGACTATATCGACTACAACATAACTAACCCGGTCATGTTTAGTGAAGGTAGGAGAATTGAAACAAATTAAATGATAATTTTGATTAATGAACATTTAATAACTGACGGATACTACTACATAATAACATTATCTGATTTCCATTTATCTTGATTTTTCAAGAAAAGATCTCACGATTCATCCCATTCAAAGAAGAGTATTCCTAAGTCTAACCACAACAATCAAAGGAAATAATTGTAAAGATTATTAAGATTACAAGATATTTCTAGCTATTTTCATATAAATCTCTAAATATTTCTTTAGAAAGGATATCCTAATTAAGTTAGTTAATATTCTTTGTAGAAACATTTAAAGGATTGATTTTTGAAACGGATATTGTGTAAATTAGTAACAAAATATTGTGTGGTTAAAGAAATCGTGATATCGACTTGCATTTCATCAATGTATGCTCTGCTTTCTGTGATGGTGTAATATCCAGTGTAAAAGCATTTCATCACTCCCAAAATATCGATAAAACAAAATGAGCGACTTCCTTGTCTTAATAGACCTCTAATCGCCTATCGAAATTGTTAGTTATGAAAATGCTTTAGGACATGGTAAATGGTAAATATGCAGATCTTGTATTATTGCTATCCCGCGAAAGAGAGTGATGATGAACTTTTCTGTTTTTCTAACAATTGATTGTTTGTGGAAGTTCCTTCCGATCATATCTATTTTCTGATTCTAAGAATTTCTAGAGGGTAGGGTGGCCCGAAAAATTTTGTTTTCATAAAAATAATTTGAAAAAAAAGAAAGAAATTAACTACCTATATGAAATATTGTTTAAGTGGTTCCTGAAGTCCTATTAAATATAATTACAGGAACAAGAATACTTTAAGAGATAGTTTTTAATATTTTTTTTCTGTAAAACATGGTTATATTTTACCATTTTGGGGGGAGGCTTCAGCCCGAAAGCCCTCCCCCCCCTCCCGTAGACCCGCCTGTGCTACTCGGTACCTTAATTCTTCAATAATCGACATTTACTCTCTTATTCTGCTCAGTACCCAAGATCCTAAGTTAACATCACATTTTTGAATTAAGTTAGTTAACTACAAAGTAAACAAAGTACTCCATGCCCAGCTTTTGGCAACCGGAAGACCGGAATCAGTGATGTAATTTTCACGAATTTATAGCTTTGTTAGAAATGTACATGTTGTAACGAATAATCATAATCGAAAGTTTACATTGGACAAATTCACTTTCGTTACTTTAATATGGTGTCGACGATATGACATTAAATACATCTTAATTTCTAATTTCCTGATGCTAGTAAATATATGGAAGCTAAGGTACGATATATCATCAAATAGATATGACTAGATAAAATATGACGAACCTTCACGATGTTGAACAGCATTGTAAAAATAACGTACAATGTTTTTGTGAATTTCATATTTTTACCTATAGTTTTTTTTTTTATTTCAAACTTCTATATTTTTGACATTTTTGTATGAGTTATGACATTACGAATTTTCATTGAATTTAATAAGTTTTTTGAGAGGTGAATGAATATCTTTATGACTATTATTCCTTTAAAAAATTCAAAAATTGTAGGGAAAAAATGTATACTGTTTCTGCAATTACTTCAAGCATGGTTGGTCCCGTGTTTCATATAGATTTAAATGTTTTCCTCTTTGCATTCGAACACGAATGTTCAGTGAAAAAGTTATGGAGCGCAAGAATAGGTATTTCGGTAAAATTATGAACATAAAGAATCCGGTTTATCTACATTCCGAAAAAAAACAACTGCCAATCCTGTTAGTATTATAATTAAAGTTATCGATCTAAGGATTATACCTAGATTTACCATACTCCCACTCTTGATGACCTCTTCATCCAAAATATAGTCTTTTAATATATAAAATGTATGTATTAGACCATTGACTATAACGAACTACCTACTACTACTATAAACCATCAGAAACGAGACCCAAGCCGACACCGGCAGCTGTACAGCCTTGACAGTGGCACCCTTACATCCAATTAGCCTAGCAGAACAATTGTGGAGCTCATTACAGTCCGCCGCCCGGATATCTGTTCGTGCCTCGGACCGGCCGTCGACCTCGGGGTATGAAGATGCCCAGGTTATGGAACTTCTGCCAACAAGGAAAACGTTTGGTCGCAGATAGGCAGAAAAGTAGAAGAGGCTCATCATCAGAGCTGCATTCCAAAATACAAGTTTCTGTAAGAATATTCATAACGAGAATTGACTATTATTTGAATTAACTCCTTGAACCAAGTTACATTGGCAGAGCTCAACACTTGTTTATAAATTATATATATTTATTTAAACGTAATTGCTTGAAAAATCCCTTTAGTTGTTTTCCATAAGTCATTCAAATATCATATTTTTTTCTTAATATTTCTATGTGAGTATTATTCCGAAGTTTTTCATAAGCAAATAAAGAAACAATTCCGAAGTTATCAAATACTTTTTCATCTTAATGGATGAAATTTTCAATCTTATAAATTACAAATTCTTAACACTAAATGAAAATTAAGAATTATTTTGTTTATTTGTCTTTGTTCAGTATATCCTCACTGACGAAACGTCAATATAGGCAGCGAACCATGTCGTCCTTCATTGAACATAGACCGGAATGTAAATAAATATCCGCTATGATTGCCTTTCCCTTCCTTGATCGAACAAATAAGAAATAAAATATTTTTCTCATGTCATCAAAACTAATGCTAGATTTAATTAGAATTTGAAGCTTTGTTTTACTCCAGATCTAACAATCCTAAAACAGCGAACAAAAGCTTCCTACCGGTTCTATACATTATGTTTCACAAGTTGGACAAATCTATCCCAAATTAGAAATATACGTTTGCACATCCATAAGTGAAAGTAGATAATAGAATTTGATTAAATTTAAGCTGGATCATTTTTTCACTAATTCCAAACATTTCTCCAAATTCGGACTTGATTAGCCGCGTTTGATACAAAGCGTGTCTGAAAATACATTTTCTCAGAAAAAGTATCGGCTGGATTAATCTGGGACCAACTAGGTACCGACCCGCACAATCAAATGTCTGAAATTTTCTTTTCAAATCGATACAGTTTTTCTGTGTTACATCCGTTCACATGTATTTGACTACAGGGAATTTTAATCCTGGCATTGATCCCCCGTCCTTACGCCCTGGTCTGGAAATACCCCCATATAGCTTAAAAGGTGAGGAAGGAGGAAGACCAAAAGAAATTGTATTTGATTACAGACGGGCGTGCCCGAAACCAAATTTGATTCTTGATGTATAAAACATAAAACATGAGTAGAAATGTTCGATTCAGAGAACGAAAATTGTTTAGCCTCCCACATGAAGTGAAGAAGCAAAAAGTCAATCCTATACTATTATAGATATAATGGCATACAAATAAAAAAACCTCCTGTAAGAATAAAAGTAAATTACGAGTATGTCAATCTTGGAAATATTTAAATTCTACTCTTATAGGGAATTCGGGAACTGTGTGGGTAAGGCTTAGACATATAAAGTCAGGTCGAGAGGAGGCACTGTAGAATAGTAGATAGTAGCACTGTGGAAAATAATTTATTTATATATATATATATATATATATATATATATATATATATATATATATATATATATATATATTATTGTTAATATTAACATATATTAATAGATGAATTTATTTTGTAGCAGACTTTAGAATGAATATCAACATTCCCTCTCTAGTTAAAATAA